TGCGGTGACCAGAACTGTACGCAATACTCCAAGTGCGGCCGCACCAGGGTTTTGTACAGAATACACAGGGTAGTCATTCTATACCATCACAGAAAGAGAGGAGGGTCTGGGACTGCAGGGAAGAGACAAGATGTAAATATAATAATGTACGATAATAGAACTATACAGCACAGGAACAGGCCCTTCAATGCTGTTCAGAGTCCTGCCATTAATTGTATACTTTTCCTTAACATTTGATCTCCCAAAGTGCAGCATTGCACACTTACCCGGATTAAACTCCATCTGCCATTTCTCTGCCCATGTCTGCAACTGATCCATATCCTGCTGTATCCTTTGACAACCTTCTACACTATCCACAACTTCACCGACCTTTGTACCGTCTGCAAACTTACTAACCCACCCATCTACATTTTCATCCAAGTCATTTATATGTATCACAAACAGCAGAGATCCTAGTGAGGATCCCTGCAGAACACCACTAGACACGGACCTCCAGCCTGAAAAACACCCTTCCACCACTACCCTCTGCCTTCTATGTACAAACCAATTCTGAATCCACTCGGCCAAGTCACTGTGGATCCCATGCATCTTAATCTTCTGGATGGGCCTACCATGAGGGACCTTGTCGAAAGCCTTACTAAAATCCATGTAAACAACATCCACTGCTCTACCCTCATCGATCACCTTCGTCACCTCCTCGTAAAATTCGGTCAAGTTAGTAAGATGTGAGCTGTTCCACACAAAGCCATGCTGACTGTGCATAATTAGGCCATGTATTTTATAAATGCTGTAATGCTATATCATCAGAGAGAGAGGAGGGATGGGGTCTGGATCTGGGGGACGTGTCTGGTTCCTCTGCCTTTGTTTAGCCAATGGTTTGTCTGTTTGCAGGTGACAATGGGCCGTGGACTCGGGGTGACTCACCGCATCTTGGCCAGGAGCTGCCCCCTGATGGTTTCCCGCAATCACTGCACCTTTCGCCTCACTTCAGAGGGACACTGCCTCGTCATTGACAACCAGGTATCCCACAACCAGGCCATTCAGCCCCTCTAACCAGAGCTACCACAACCAGGCCATTCAGCCCCTCTAACCAGGTATCCCACAACCAGGCCATTCAGCCCCTCTAACTGATGCTACCACAACCAGGCCATTCAGCCCTTCTAACCAGAGTTATCACAACCACTGTAGGGGCTGTAAAGGGCCCTCCTCAGGAGGGTGTAACATTTGACCTCCTCTTAGGAAACGAGGTCAGGCAAGTGACTGAAGTCTCAGTCAGAGAGCACTTTGCGTCCAGGGACCATAACTCTCTTAGTTTTAATACAGTTATGGAAAAAGATAGGACAGGGCCACAGGTTAAGGTGCTAAACTGGAGTAGGGCCAATATTGGGGCCATTAAGCAGGACCTAGCAACGGTTGATTGGGTGAGTCTGTTTGAAGGAAAAGGAACAACTGGCAAATCGGAGGCTTTTAGAAGTCTGATATCAAGAGCCCAGGTACGTCCCTGTTAGGATGAAGGGAAAAGCTGGCAGGTTTAGGGATCCCTGACTGACGAGGAACATTGAGGCTTTAGTCATGAAAAAGAAGGAGGCTTACATTGGGTTTAAGCTATCGGGCTCAAGTGGATCCCCAGATGACTATAAAAAGCGTAGGAGCTCTCTTAGAACATAGAACAGTACAGCACAGTACAGGCCCTTCGGCCCATGATGTGGTGCCGACCTGTTATCCCACTAAGATCAAATGACCCTGCATACCCTTCATTTTACTATCCTCTTTGGGCCTATCCAAAAGTCGCTTAAAAGTCTCTAAAGTATCTGACTCCACTACCACTGCAGGCAGCGCATTCCACATGCCCACCACTCTCTGTGTGAAGAACCTACCTCTGACATCTCCCCTATACCTTCCTCCAATCACCTTAAAATTATGCTCCCTCGTAATAGTCATTTCTGCCCTGGGAAAAAGTCTCTGGCTATCCACTCTATCTATGCCTCTCATCATCTTGTAAACCTCTATCAAGTCACCTCTCATCCTTCTTTGCTCCATCGAAAAAAGCCCTAGCTCCCTCAACCTTTCCTCATAAGACCTGCCCTCCAGTCCAGGCAGCATCCTGGTAAATCTCCTCTGCACCCTCTCTAAAGCTTCCACATCTTTCCTATAATGAGGTGACCGGGACCGAACACAATATTCCAAGTGTGGTCGAACCAGGGTTTTATAGAGCTGCAGCATAACCTCACGGCTCTTAAACTCAATCTCCCTGCCAATGAAAGCCAACACACCATATGCCTTCTTCACAATCCTATCAACTTGGGTAGCAACTTTGAGGGAGCTATGGACGTGGATCCCAAGATCCCTCTGTTCCTCCACACTGCCGAGAATCCTGCCATTAACCCTGCATTCTGCATTCAAATTCCACCTTCCAAAATGAATCACTTCACACTTTTCTGGGTTGAATTCTATCTGCCAACTCTTTATCCAGCTCTGCATCCTGTCAATGTCCCATTGCAATCTACAACAGCCCTCCACACTATCCACAACTCCACCAATCTTCGTGTCATCGGCAAACTTAAGAGGGAAATCAAAGGAACAAAAAGAGGGTAAGAGATCGATCTGGCAGATAAGGTTAAAGATAATCCCAAGAGGTTCTGCAGCTATATTAAGAGTAAAAGGGTGGCCAGGGAGAGAATAGATCCCCTTAAAGATCAGCTTGGCCGTCTATGTGTGGAGCCACAGGAGATGGGAGAGATTTTTAATGAATATTTCTCCTCACTGTTTACTGAGGAGAGAATCATGGATGCTCAGGAAATAAGGGAAACAAGTGGGGCTGTTTTGGACCACATACACATTATCAGAGAGGAGGTGTTTGCAGCCTTAAAGCACATTAAGGTGGATAAATCCCCTGGGCCTGATCAAGTCCATCCTCGGACACTGTGGGAGGTTAGGGAAGAAATTGCAGAGGCCCTTGCAGATATTTTTGCTTCATCTTTAGCCACTGGTGAAGTTCTGGAAGACTGGAGGGTGGCTAATGTTGTTCCATTGTTTAAGAAAGGTAGCAAGGACAAGCCAGGGAACTACAGGCCACTGAGCATCAGTGGTAGACACATTATCGGAGAGGATACTGAGGGACAGGATCAACCAACATTTGGATAGTCAAGGTCT